CACACACTGGCTCAGCTAACCAATCACAGCACATTTCGTATTTCAGAAGGCGGGCCTTCATTTGATACAGGAACTATTCGAGCCGTTCATGCCAGACAGGGGAGAGAGGCGTTGTAATAATGTAAAATATGTGAAAAATAATGTGTTTTTCGAACAACCTAGTATGAGAGCCTGTTCTAGTACACCCCCAAAACAAGATTAAGACTTTGTAAAAGAGCATAATAGGACCCCTTTAAACCATCTAAGCCCATCTTAAACATGTTAAGACTAACTTAGACTTTAAGTGTTTTTAGAAGGTATTTCTTATTGTTTAAAGATATAGTTCAACCAAAAACTACTTTATAACTCTGTTGTCATTTACTCATGTTGTTCCAAACCTATATAAATTTCTGTTTTTCTGGGTAACATGGCTTTGGTTCCCCATACAATAAAATTCAATGTTCACCAAAACTGTTTGGTTACAAACATTCTTCAAAATATCTTCTTTTGAGCTTCACAGTAAAAGTAGAATTCATATTGAATTTTCACTTTTGGGTGATCTGTTCCTTTAACTCTTCTTTTTATCATTTTATTTTATTGAAGACGCACAAAGAGTGAAGATGGAAAATTATGAGAAGGAAACTAACAACTCCAAACCCATGCTTCTCACATGTGCACATCTGGTGTGTGACAGTGTGCTAATTGCTAATCCATCATAGTGGTTTTTGATCTTCGACTTTGTGTTTTCTTATGTAAACAGGAATTTGTGGAAATAACAAAATTGTTGGGGCAAAAAAGCAGAGGGATTATATTCCACACATTACATGCCGAATGGTTTAGTCTGTGCTTGAGACAACCTTGCATTAAACAACCTATAATTTTAGACCCTACTAGAACATTAAAGATTAAAACGGTGTTACGGTAAAATGACAATAATTGCTTTGACTGTAGTCATTCCAGATTTGTGAATGATTTATAATTACTTGTTACTCTCTGTAAACACAGAAAGCAGTTAGGCGTTCTTTATGATAGACTACTGCTAAATTATTCACTGGCTGTCGATCAAAGTAGACACACTGAAACGAGGCCAACGAGACGTCAGGGACAGGATCCTGTAGCCACTACTAAGCAACTAGAAATCTTCATGCTATTTGAGCAGTTCGACAGCCTGAACTATTGTGGAAATTGTAAATTCACAGACATGTATAAACAATAATAATAATAGAAAAAAAATAACCTATCAATCAATTCCATGGGAACTGTAAGAAAAAGCAAATCCTTGGCAGTCAAGTAGCATTGTGCTGCCTTAAATTCCTTAATATTTTATCTTTTAATTATTTATTTTTGTAAAGATGTACTTTTGGTTGGTATACTCTGTATCCTGTATGTATGATTTTTACCAAAACCAGTTTAACGCAAACTCCATCCCTAGCCGATTCTAAATATTAGTGTTCCTACGCATTATAATGAATAGTGTTTTGCCATGTATATAAAGTTCGTCAAAAACCAAATGAATGTATATTGCCCTGTACAAGTTTAAACCTTGTCATTTAAAGCATGATTGCTTAATAAGGGTGTCCTTTATCTTGTTATGTCCCACACTATCCTTTTTTAGATATAATTACGATAATGACAATAATTGCTCTAAAACTGCACAGCAGTTCATTGTAACAGAACTGTTATGAAATACTGACATTTCACTCAGGCAATACAACTTTCTACATCTACCAGTCCTTAATTGCTGTGTTCTGTTTGCCTTAGACCTTAAGTAGAAGTTAGTAAGTAAAGATAGAGGGGAACCTTTGATGAAATTGATTTTCAAAAGACTAGGTTAATTTTGCTGCTTCTGCTGAAGCTTGTTCGTGTTTTGTCTTAAAAAATGTCCAGGTCTGAAGTACTGAGTGGTTAAAAAAAAAAAAGCAGCATGGGTTTTCTAAGACAGTTGCAGACGAAACAATAACAGGGAGTGACTGTTACCTTTATCAATATCGAATGAAGCTTTTTCCCGGCCATCTTCAACTATTCTCCCAGGCAGAGTCAACCTTCAAGGTAAATGATTACACAGATTTATTAATATATATTTATTAATAAATCTATTATTATTTATTTATTAACATGTCTTTTTATTATTACTAGTATTTTCACCATCTAAAAATGGTTTTAAGTCAGTTATTTTTTTTCTTTTGCTGTTGGGTGTCAGCAGGAAATTATACATTTCCAAACATTCGTTTTGCCATTAATTGTAATAATCAAGTGAGATTTTTGTTTGCACAAGGAGTCTGACAACAGCCAGTGCTCCACACAGAGATCTGATCTCATCATCATCCAGTCTGTCTGGAATGACTTGAAGAAACAGAACAAACTGAGACAGACTAAATCCAGAAGAACTGTGGCAACGTCTCCACGATGCTTCAAGAGACCAAATAATTTTGGCCACCACTGTGTATATATATCATATATATACACATTACATTTTTGGGTCTCGGTCTTAGTATTTGTAGTTAAAAAGCATTGTAAATATCTTATAAGGACCTATGAGTACTTTCCTGTGTTTTAACAGAATGCCAATCATGGTGTTTGCAGGTGAGTCACCTGAGAAAGTAGGGCTTGGCATAGAACTTAAAATCTTCTCCCTGGATGTAGATGTCAAACTCAGATGTTCTGGTGTAGGGTACACGAATAACCACAGTAAGGAAATTGGCATCTTGACTCAGTTCAAACGCTGGTGTTATCATGATTACACACGGCAAAGTACTGCAGTGAAAGGAGAAAAACACAAACAGTTATTCAGACATCTTAAACTGGTTGGGTCCAATTTCAGTTTATTCAGCAGGATCTTACTGACTCCGCATTACAAATATAACATTATAATATAATATAATGTTACAATGTACAACACAATCCTAATGGAATCAAATTTTCATTCAAATGATCAGAGATTAAGTTTATCCAGCAGAATATTATTTTACTTGAAGCTCCTTAGTCCAATTTTTTTTTCTGTATTTTTATCTTTTAGTGTGCTAATCTATCAATCATGCCATCTTGGCACAGTTTCACTGATCAACTAATAACAGCACAATCATCACTAATTACAGATAACATACAGTACGGTCTCATTACTTTGACTGTGGAAAAATCTCTAAAAGTTGCTTCTAAACAGAAAACCAACTACTTGACAATGTAAATATCCAGCAGAATATTATTTTACTTGAAGCTCCTTAGTCCAATTTTTTTTCTGTATTTTTATCTTTTAGTGTGCTAATCTATCAATCATGCCATCTTGGCACAGTTTCACTGATCAACTAATAACAGCACAATCATCACTAATTACAGATAACATACAGTACGGTCTCATTACTTTGACTGTGGAAAAATCTCTAAAAGTTGCTTCTAAACAGAAAACCAACTACTTGACAATGTAATATGAAGTGAAGACCTTAAAAAGTCTGCTCATCTAGTCCCTGGTCTATTTGACATGAAGTCAAATAGATATTTGAAGAGCAGAAAAAATAGGGTAGCTTACAACTCCACCTTGTGGCTACTCAATTTAAACTCAATGAGACATAAACAACCCATTTTCTAACTAGCACATTATAAACCTTGAAATGTGATTAGTTTCAAATTAAACTTTACTCTATTCCAATACAACACTGTTATTCAGCAGTTAAGACACATTCTTAAAATACTGAGGACTAAAAAAAACACCTCGTTAAATGTCTTCCCAGTAACCAAATTCGCTATACTAATATGATACGTGCACGCAGGATAAAAACAAACCCAAAATAATTAACCAAGTGATAACTAAAGCCCAACGCAGGTAAGAAGCTGTCAAAAGTACGCAGATGTTGTTTGTACACGCAATGTTTACGCCAACATAAAACAGACAGGACATACATAGTCCATGCACTATTTAGTACTTTTACGTTTTCAAATTATATAGTAAGATTTAAATAAGGCAATGGCAAACAATATAAACATTATAAAACAAAACTGCTACCTTCACGCCTGTTCTGACGCAGCACATGGACTGCTTCCTGCTCTCTCGACTGGCCATGTTTTACCGTAATGCCACATATAAGGAGGACTACAAACTCGCTTGGATTTTACACTCAATTTCCAATGGTGAAGATGATTAAATACATGGTAGTTAATGTAAATTTAAATATCAATATGCATTTCAGATAAATCAAATGCAATAAATCAGTGTACACATAGTTACTGCAGTCAAATCGGATTAAAGAAGTTAATAAAGAAGAAAAACATACGTTTGAAAAATTAAAATAAATAAACAAGTATATAATAAATACATAAAAAATGTAATGTTTCAGAATTATTTTCTGGTTTGAACAATTCCTCCAGCAGATTATTATTTTTTTAAATTTAGGAACTGATTAGAAGCATATACCAATAGCCACCATTATAGAAGGAATATACAATACTGTAATATACAAAACAATATATAACATTATTATGTCAGACACTGTTAATATCATCCTGGCAGTCAGACATGGAAATAAAATATAATAATATGAATGAATATACTATTAATATAATATAATAACGTGATATGATGAATATGAACAAATATAATGTTTCACATCCATATGGCCAAACATAATAATTATGTAAAAAAAAAAATATAAATAAATAAATCTAAACACCAGGAAAGTATTCATATCATTTGTATTTTGGTAGAGTGCTTCCCCTACGGCAGCATTAAGGTATTACGTTTGTATTGCAGAGGTATTACAAGTATTACGGTAAGGAGTGTAAGGTCCGCCTTCAGAGATTCATTTACGTGTGTGATATCGTGAGCAGCATCGTCTTCATCATCACAGTACAAATGAAGAAGTATGACTGCACACTACAAATATGTCCCCTTGTTTTAACCAGAGCCATGGTTAAAACACTTCCAAGCGGACAGAACACTTTTTCACCATGAGAATCCACTGCAAGATTGTGGCGATCGCGGTATGTTTCGGAGTTTTTCTACTTTTGTACTTTTTCGGGGGGAACGCTGCGGACGAGCCGCCGCTGAATGAAGTTGCCAAAGAAAAACATTTTCAATCCTTCAATCATATCGAGGATATAGCACCGGCGAAAGAAGCGAAACAAACCAACGAAGAACCACAAAAACCACCAAAACTAATCCGCAAAGAGCCGAAGTTGAGCAGCAGAGGAGGAGGGAATGTCATCGCAAAGACTCGGTAGGAAAGTGCAACATCATGATCAACAACCAGTTTGATCAAAACAGATTGTATAAATATGTGTTCCAACTTTTATTCTAGCTGAATATAATATAATATAATATAATGCAGGTTTTCCTTCTACTGAAGTTGATATATAGGCATCCTTTCAACTCCCTTCTGTGCACATGATCAGTGCTTTAGTTTCTCAAGGGCATTTATGACCTCAGTGTGATTTGCAAATCAGTGCAAACACATGGTTTAATACCAATCCATATATCATTGATCTTTTTCTGTTTGTAAACACAGCTATTGTAACCAGACATTGCTGTCAAAAGCCTGCTTTGACAATGGAGATTTTTGCACATTTATTGTGCAATCTTAATGTAACGAGAAGGAAACCATGCATGACACAATTATTACACTATTCACATCCAGATTACTATGCACTAATGTCTTAAATCTTATCAGAGACCAGTGTGCGTTGCGCATGCAGCAAAGCCGAGTCCAAGAGCCCCCCTGTGTGCATCTCAGCCACGATTATCTCAATTGTATTTTCATTATGGCTTTATTAAAAAGGTCACCTTGAATGCAGTTGCCTCGTTCCCAAAGGGTCTCAACAGAGGACAAAATCAATGATTGGTTGTGCTGAGTGAATGTACACGCTCTCTTGTGAGTGGAGGATAGAGTAGTTTATTCATCAAGATGATCAGCCCTTTCCGAGACACAATTAAAAGCAGTTGTCACATTCATCCTTTAAGTGAACTGGAGATTGGTTCATTTGTGTCAGTATTTTGATAGTGTAAAATCAATAATGTCAAGGTAGACGAACTATAGACAGATGTCTTTTTAATAGTGTAAAATCAATCCTGCACTGAGGATGAGTTTAATATTCATTGCTTGTCTTCTTTCAGCAAGCATATGTTATCGCCCCACTGACAGCTTCACATAAACGCCACTAATTGCAGTTGTGAGATATTGCAACCCTTTGACCCTCCTGTTGGGTTTCAAGCAGTGATCCGTCTTGATGTCCACACCCCTGTGACTGCTCTCTGCTGATAAACCCACAATGCAAAGGGGGCAACGCAGCCACAGGGAAATTAGTTAAACAGATCCACCGTACAAACAGGAGGGATGAGAGGGTGTGATTTGGAAAACGCTCTACGTGTTTAATTCCTGGCTCCCTATCCATCTCCGCAGAGGAAGGAGGAGGGCCAAAACCGTCTTGTCTCGTATGACCTGTTGTTGTTTTTTTGGAAGTGATTAACTCTTCCGCACGTTTTTACTTTTTTAAGCGCATCCTCCAGACGTGCTTCCTGTCTAGCTGCTGCAAAACACACAGATGTGTCCCTGATGATACGTTTCATCACGTACAGGGGGCCCAGAGGGTCTGTTTTGTCCCGAGGGCTCTAACAAATACAAAACTTTTGATCCCAATCTCTAATTTCTAGTTTTTCTATTTTATTATTAGCTAAGGTTGTATTATAAAAAGAATAGATCACCAACAAGTGAAGATTCCTTTGTGTACTTAAAGGGATAGTTCACCCCAAAATGAAAATTCTGTCATTAATTGCTCCCCCTCATGACGTTCCAAACCCGTAAGACCTTCGTTCATCTTCGGAACACAAATAAAGATATTTTTGATGAAATCCAAGAGCTTTCTGACACTGCAGAGACAGCAACGCAACTGCAGTGTTCCCAGTCCCAGAAACGTAGTAAGGACATCGGTAAAATAGTCCATGTGACATCAGTGGCTCAACTTTAATTTTGCGATGCTACGAGAATACTTTACTCGAGAATACTGTGCGCAAAGAAAACAAAAATAATTTATTCAACAATTCTTCTCCCTGAGTTACCATCTTCCACCATTATGAGAGTACCACGATACATGTGCGCACTTTCCCCAGAACGTAATCAGCATTGTTTACGTTCAGCATGCGCATGCGTTCTCCTGAATGTAAACAATGTTGATTGAAGTCATATGATCATGGTGTACTTCATTTATTGCCTACGTTTAGCTTTTTACTTCTGGGGATTGTATTTAGGCTTAAATTCATGACAGTTTTTAAAAATTTTTATTAACATAAGTTACATAACATGTAAGAATCATATGGAAACAATATCACAATGGAAAAATCTATTGGGTTTTTGTCGAGGGAACCAGGGTGATGTGATCTTCCAAGTTGGCCAACAAAAATACGTCATCACTGCACTGTTTTAATCGAAATAATATTGGCCATTATTGACTTTGATTGTGTAGACATTGTATGGGCATTTTTCTAAATATCTTATTTTATTCCATAGATCAAAAAAGGCATACAGGTTTGTAATGAGTCTGACATGATGGTGAGTAAATGATGACAGATTTTTTGTTTTAATACAACTAAGTAAAATTACGCTTAGGTAACAAACGTGCAGCTGTACGTTCATGTTTCTTTCGCACCCTTTCCCAAAAGAACCTGCTTTACTGGAAAGTTGGGTGCTCATAACACCTCTCTTGTGTTTTGCCAAAACCGCAAAACACTGCTGCACACGTTCCTGCAGCACCTAGGAATAAGTGTCTACTAACTGTCAAATGAATAGCTCGCTCTGTCATCTGTAATGCAGCTATGACTGGAGGCAACTGCCTCGTGGCAGGTACATTATATAAAGCCATAAACATGTCACAGAGGAAGACTAAGAACCCTCCATTTGTGTGTGTCTTTCTCTCTAGCCTCTTTATCACCGTTTCTACACGGAACACAGATATCTCTCCATTGTCACTCGTGCCTCTCAATATGTTGATTCCTCCTCTGCGATCTTTATCTTCTAGCCTGGAGCACTCTAACGTTTCACTTCAGGTTTTAAAGTCAGGGTGCCATGGAACAGCTGGCTCTGCCAGGACAGGCGTGCAGACATTCTCAAGAGGGGAAAAGTGCTAATAATTTGGACATAGTTTATGGAGTGCGCTGCATAGCTCTAGAAAAAGCACTGACTGAATTCCATGCACGCAGCCTTGCAGGCCTGGATTGAATCAGCCATCATATTCATTCTAAATATGCTTTTTTGGATCTATCGTTGGTGATTTCCAGTGAAGTGTTTTAGCCTAAGATTTGTTAGCCTAAGATGAATTGAAATTATGCTGGATTGTAGGATTGTGGGAAGTTTTGGTGGTTTGTGCATCGTGCACATTACAGATCTGCTTTATGCCAGCTTATTCAAATTTTCTGTTCATGCCATGCTGTCCAGTGGGACAGATAATTGGATGAAAAAACATTTGCTTGCTTCACAAAATATTAAAGCAATTACAGTTGTGAAGTTACTTTTTTATTATTAAATAAAAAAAAAAACAAAAGTAAGCAGTGCACAAACATTGAATACTGTCAGCACTGCTTATGAATATTGCAAGTATCTATGACAGTAATATCAAAATTACTTTTGTTGATGTTGCATAATTAGGCTAATTGTGCAGCCAATTTATCCAAGAATTAAAGCCACTCTTGCATAAATTGTTGCACTAAATTGAATGCATCCAAACATAAAAAAGGATTTTATGAATTATTTGATCACAGATTTGTTCTTCTTGTATAAATGACGCTAAATAATCAGAACTTAAGGGAAGAGATATATTTATAGTTCACAATGAAGTTCCACCATGTACACAATAGAAATTCACCCTGTTTCATTTTCATTCATTTTTGGGTTGCTTTTAAGTTGATTTCATATTGCTAGTCTGTTTCACTTGTCTATGATCAATTGTATTGCTCAACAAGGAATCATCAGTATCAGCTTTAAAACTGGTTTTAGGAACTTCTGCTCAATAAGGAGTGCAATATTTAATCGCCTTCTCAGAGTCTAAATGTTTCCAGATGTGTCCACTCAGACTGAAAGAATTTTTATAAGCTCCGAGTCTGTGAACATTTCATGTTGATTAAAAATGGTACCAAATTCAGTAGAGTGTTGGTCGTATCATATGCTTCATGCGTTTTGATCAAAGCGTAAATGCCTCTCAGTGTTGGACAAATGATTGAAAAAATGAAAAGAATAAATGGTTTGATATTCAATCAGACCATTGATGCAATTCCTGTTGCCTAATTTGCAGTTCTGTAAACAAGGGAAGCTTTTTCCACAGGAAACCACAGCCATCAAAGCAGATTCTAAAGTCTTTTGTGATACTAGTCAGAAAATGAACTTTCAGGTCTGAAAATATCTCTTCTTCCCTTTTGTCAAAAGCCCAAGGTGTTTCCATGTTTTTCCTATTCTTTATTTCACTTCATATCAAGGTCTGTGGTTCACTTGAAATAAGAGCAAGAGTGTTTGCACGTCCTTGGCTTAATGGAAGCTCTTTGATGTCTGTCTGAAAGGCTGCACGCTTTTCTTGCGGTATGAATTTGTTTCCTCCACCAAAGCCTCGGATAAATGGAGGACTTTTTTCCCAGAGGTCGTCTCTTGGGTAGAGCTTAGAGTGTTAGAGAGCTTACTTCCCTGGAGTGATGGAGACTCAACATGAATCACAAAAGCAAACACCACCCCAATAACAATTATGTTTTGGTGACTCAAGTCAAGGAAATGTGTATTCAAGTGAAACACTGGGTCATGATGAACAAGAGTGCTACTCGTCTACATGTTTAATGTCTCCTGTTGTCTTCAAAGTATTAATTTCTTTGAGAAATAAAGACGCAATGGTTCTACAGGTGACATCTTTCATTAATTTTAATTACATTTAATATAAATAATTAGATATTTAATTTTTATTAAATTAAGTTTGCCCTTGTGTGCTCCCATCAAGTTACTTGCAAGCTGGTCTGACTCTGACTCCGAAATTGTTTATCCTTGAATCATTTAAATGAGGTTCTCAATGTGCCAGAGGAACCGTGTGCAGCATAAGGAATATTTCACCAGTGTGTTGTCTCATGGTTTGACCTAGCTGATTTGTAACAGATGTTTTTTTTGTTGATGTCACAGTTTGGATGAGTTTTGATGGATGTAGTTTTTTTTTTTTTTTTTACTTCTAGGCAGAAAAGTGAGGTGGGGCGGCCTGGGTCAAAGGTCACACAAGCAGAGGATGTCATGCACCTGGCAGTGGTGGCTTGTGGGAACCGTCTAGATGAAACGCTCAACATGGTGAAATCAGCACTGCTCTTCAGCATAAAGAAGATCAAATTTCACATCTTTGCAGAGGAGAACCTGGCCGAACAATTTGAAAAAGGGGTGAGAGCGTGTACCATGATTCTTTCATCTTTTCTGTGGCTACCAGAGGTTTTTGATGTTGATGGTAATGTCTAGCAGACTGGTGACCTAAATTGTTTTTTTTGAGTATCTATACTTATCTAAGGGGCCGTTTACACGACAACATTTTCAGACAAAAACGGGAAACTTTTTATGTATTTTGCCTGTTCGTTTACATGACAATGGCGTTTTGGGGATTGAAAACGCATATTTTTGAAAACCGGTTTCAAATGCAAGTTTTTGAAAACGCCACCATTATCGTTTCCGTGTAAACACCCAATATGGGAATCTTTGAAAACAGTGACGTTATGCGCTTGTGTAGTACGTGTTAGTTTTTTTTTTTTGTAGTACATGTTTGTAGAACTGCGCAGTACGTGTCAATTTTAAAGGCAAGCGCGAACAAACATACACAACAATGGCGGAGTACATGGTACTGTTGTTGCTGCTCAAGAGTTTGCTAACGCTTCTTCAGCAAAGTGTGGATTTATTTCACCAATATTACAACCAACATACAACATATAATCGTCACTTCCCTTCAGGTACTGTTTACTAACAAGGTGACAGCGCCAACTACTGGCCTGGCATACGTAATACAGCGTTTTTGGCCATTTTCGCAGATATGTGTAAACGCGAATCGTTTTGAAAAAGTTGTGTACACGTGAAACTTTTTAAAAACGCAAGGGAGAAACTTTTCCGTTTTTGACTACATCGTTGTCGTGTAAACGTAGCCTAAGGGATATCTTTATTCTCAGAAAAGCAGTGCAATGGGTAACTGAATTTTAGTTCCTACTGAAAAGAACATATTGCTGGCTCTCCAGCTATTTAATCTCTGCAGTGGGCTATATTTTACCTCAGACAAAGCTTCATCCCTTAACTATGCAGCTTTCTTGGACGGAAAAAATCTGGCACAGATTTCAGGCATAATTTTGTGGATGATTGCTTCACTCTTTTCCTTTAAAGTCTAGATGTAATATTCCAGTATAACTAATAGGGTTGTAAATATTTGCTTTGATAATGATTTAGTTTGATTACTTTTTTTCCAGTTTATTTATTATTTTGGTACAGTTTTTTTTCAGTGCTTTGCTAAGGCAAACTCACAATTATTATCACTTATATTTGGGGTTATGGACCTTTTGCAAACCTCCAATAACAGCCAAATCACCATTGCTCTTGTTCAGGTGATACTTTTATTTATTCATGTGATATAATTATTATTGTTTATAGTAATTCTAAACGATTATTATGATGAATGTCTTTTTACACCCTTAGTATACAATTTGTACCCAAGGTTTCTTATTGTATTTAAACAGGCCTTTGACAAAAACCTTGACTGTCAATTTTATTGTACTAGTGGTTTGTGGTAACCCTTAGACAATGTCAGGCTAACCCTGAAAACCAGTCTGGTAAGAAAGGTAATGTGAGAAACCTCTGTGCATAAATCTATCGATCTCTTGCTCTTAACACATTATTTGGTTTCTAGTAGAGTGGTATTTCTTCACAGTTCTAATCGTTTGCAGTGTTTCTCTCCACAGAGGGACTGTTATTGAAAATAGCAGTACATTTTTTTTTATGCTTAGACAGCCGATGCTTTTTGAGAAGTGCCCTCTGGCCTAGAACTGATTTTGATCTAGTCCTGTACCGTATTGCTGCAAATAAAGAAACTGAAGGCTTTGAAGAGCTATAGAGAAGAAATGCAATGTCATGTTTGTTATTCAAAAGATTTCCTCAATATTTTTCTGCAGCCTTTTCAGCAGTAGTTATTTGGCTGTCTGCAGGATATTATAAACCGGTAGTTCTTAACTGGTGGGTTATGACCCAAAAATGGATTGCAGGTCTGTTCTGATGGGGTCGTGGACGGCTGGAAAAAATAATGCTAAATGAGAATAATAAAATACAACCAACTGTATAATCATGGATGGTTAGGATCGGAAAAATAAGATGATTTTTAACATTCATAAGAACAGGAAAAAATGCTTTAAATGTGTTTTGTTGTTGACATGCATCTAACAAATTTACACAGTTAAATTTATATATACATTTAATTAAAATTAAATTTACAATAAAATACTGTCAAGTTTACAGTCAATTGGTATTATGGCTAATAATAATAATAATGTATTATTTGTATTAATTTTTGCTATTTGTTTACCCAGTGTTTGTTCCATGTGTTAAACTGTTTAATGCCTTTTGAAAACATTTTCTGATACTGAATAAGTTTGCTTATTGCTTGACCTTTGCCGTTTTTGGTGATATTAATACAAATCTTTTATTTAATTTTTTTTGGCATTGTGTACAACAGGGGTGTTCAATCCTGGTTCTGGAGGACCAACATCCTGCAAAGCTTAGCTCCAACTTCCCTACCTTGAATATTGTAGTAATCCTGAAAACCTTGATTACTTTGGTTTAGGTGTGTTTAATTGAAGTCGGAGCTAAACTATGCAGCACATTGGCCATCCACGATCAGGATTGGACGCCCAATCCCTACAATAAGCAAAATTTTAGTACTGTATTGGATTGTCTCTTAATGCCCAATGTAAAGTCTAGGTTGTGAAGTAAAGCCTGCATGAACCAGAGGTGGTTTATTCTTTACCTAGATATAATAAATGAAAAATAGCTAAATTAGCTATTTTTGTGCAATTTGTTTAAGTTAGCAAAAAAAACAACATAAAATTACACACGTCATGTCATGTCTAACAATATGGGTAGGCATCTTTGGGACTCACCCATGCAACAAAATGGCATTCTATAAATCACAGTTCTTACAAATATTACAAAATGTTGCTTTATTTGAAGAATTGGTATAGGTTTCCTCACAAACATCTCTTCGCTGTCACCTGAAAGCAATAGATGTGCAGTTTACTGAAGACTGACAGCCATGACATTGACTGATTCTTTCAATTTCCTCTCACAGTTCAGTCAGTGGCCTCAGACGGTGTCCTCCAGGTTTCACTACAGCATATATCCAATCACCTTCTCTGTGGGGAATGCAGACGAATGGAAGAAACTCTTCAAGCCATGTGCTGCCCAGAGGCTGTTTCTTCCCGTAGGTTCCTGCCGCTGCTTAATATTCTCTCTTCATTTGTTTGTGTTTTCCACCTCACCACACCGACTGTAACCAAGTATTTCCTCTGATATCAGGTTATCCTGAAGGACGTGGACTCACTGTTGTACGTGGACACAGATGTTCTCTTTCTCCGGCCCATGGATGACATCTGGAAGTTTCTGAAGGCTTTCAATAGCACTCAGCTAGCTGCCATGGCTCCAGAGCACGAGATCCCTAAGATCGGCTGGTATAGCCGCTTCGCAAGACACCCCTTTTATGGAGTCACAGGGGTCAATTCAGGGGTCATGCTAATGAACCTCACACGGATTCGTAGCACTCTGTTCAGGGTGAGGAACAATAGAATTGACTTGACATTTTTGCAATTTCATATGCCCAAACTTATATATATATAACCAATATGTTGCTGTTTAGCTCTGCTTTTGATGAAATTTCAGAGGTCCAAAATCCTAATCCACATTTTCAAACACTAGTTCAAAAACTAGGGATGCATGAAATATCAGTACAAGTTTTCAGCTAATATTAGAGATATTTTTTTATTTATCAATATCAGCCGATATTTACACTTAAAGTTAATTTTTAAAAACACTAATAATTAATAACACTGAGAAATCTAATCTTTAGCAAATTTTAAAGGGGTCATATGATGCGATTTCAAGTTTTCCTTTGTCTTTGGAGTGTTACAAGCTGTTTGGACATATATAAGATCTGTAAAGTTGCAAAGACTAAAGTCCCAAACCCAAAGACATATTCTTTACAAAAGTTAAGACTCGTCCACGCCTTCCTAAAACGCCTCACTTAAACACGCCCCCACATATCTACGTCACTGTGTTGGACAATTTGCATAACACTGCCCCAAACTTTTATTCGTGCTGTAGTATTGTTGCCGCTGCTGCCATGTCGTTGAGACCATAGATATGTATGGTTGAGACGCTGTGTGTAACATTTCCGTCACGCGCTTGAGGTGTTCGGCCAATCACAATGCACTGGATAGCTGGCCAATCAGAGCACACCGCATTTTTTAGAACGATGAGCTTTGTAAAAATCTACGCAACTTTTCAGAAAGGCGGGGCAGAGAGAAGCAACAATAATGTATGGTATGCGGAAAATAATGTGTTTTTTTTACCTTAAACTGTATAAACGCATTGCATTACACCAAATACACAAAATAATGTTATTTTTAGTATTGTCATATGACCGCTTTAAAATAAATATCTATTTTTATACTATACCTCATGTTGTTGTTCTAGCAATTACAGTTTTTGTGCTTTATTTTTAATTCATTTAGACATAATAAAAATTTGAATGTCTTCCATTTATTGGTTTTATAACTTAAATAATTGTCATCAGTATTAGCTAGAATTTTAATATGGATGCATCTCTTTAAAAAAAAAAATTTTTTTTTACAAACAAAGTACTTTTTATGTTTGTGAATATTTTAGATTTCACATATTTTTGCTTTACTATATTTTTTGTGCTTGATTATTACTAGATATTACACTTGCCAGTGTTTTCCTTGTGTGGTTTATATCTCTTGGTAGTGGGCTGAGGCTTTGGCGTTCACATGTCTTCTGAGGTTTCTTTGCGCATTTAAACCCTTTTAACCTCAGGCTGTTTTTAGTAGGCAGTGATGGAAGTCTACTGATTGCCATCCGTCGAGAGCGAGTGGGTGACAGCAGTCTGGATTAGCATATTTCTGTAACTCAGCTAGAAGTGTAATTTCCAACCCAAGCACATTTTCAAGGCTGTCTGAGGGGACAAAAAGGAAAATTTTTCTTCTGGAAAAACCCCTCAATTTCCATATCAACAGCTGTCTGAAAAGTGGCTGCCAGACTCACTGTTGAGGAAAATAACCTGCCACTATTGATTTTACAGAACAGCATGATCGCCAGCGGTCTGTCATGGGAAAATCTGCTTCACCCTCTCTATCAGAAATACAAGAACCACATCACATGGGGAGACCAAGACCTACTCAACATCATCTTCCACTACAATCCAGGTATAAGACATGCTTGATTATGATGTGCAATTTGACAACACTAGCAAAAAAGAACTATGGTAATGCAGTGGGTTTCTTGGACATGTACCATGGTATTTTTAGTTCTTTTTTTTTTTTTTTTTTTTGTGAGTATGCTGTAAATACAATGGTATATATCAAAATACCTCGGTTTTAGTGTGTTTTCTGGACATATACTATTAATATCATGTTTTTGGAAATGTGCCACAGTAATACCATGGTATTCTTTAAAATACCTCGAAATATCTTGCAAATACATAAGTATATATCAAAATACCTTGGGTTTAGCATGTTTTTTTGGAAATGTTCCATAGTATTTTTTGAAACACTGTATCCTGTAAATACAAATAGGTATATTGCATAATACATCATAATACATGTACTATATTAATACCATTCAAAATACGTTGGCTTTGTACATGTTCCATGACAATGCTATCATCAAAAGGACTTTGTACATTCTGTGGTCAATATCAAAATACGCACTATTATCATGTTCTTGCACATGTAACATGGTGGTTATATGAAAGTATCAGTACCATTGATACTATTACTGAACCTTAAAAATGTAAGAAACCAATTCTTACCCAAAAGTAAGAGAAGTTTTTGAGTGCATCATCTTTGAAACTGGCATAGAAACCTGTCTACTTTCTTTATTTTTGTTGTTTTGCACTCTAGAGTGTTATAGCACTAGGTTAATTATGTTTTTTGCTGGAGGCTTAAATCCAATTTGAAAAGCTGTTTTACTTATTTTACTTGTGAAGCCCTGCAGCTTTTTATCATGAACATCTTAACTAAACTTTCCAGCTGTGATTGCTATTTCTAGTGCAGAGCCAGGTTCTATGTGTTTCTTTTCTCAGAAAATCAAAAAGACCTGATATGTCACAGGAAAAGTTTTTTTTTCTTTCAGCACTCTCTTTCCTCGCCCTCCTAAAAGTTGCTGTTTTATCTGGTTTTTATAGAGATAAGGCCCTTTTGTGTCGGTAAATACTTCTGTTGACTGGAATAGGTGTGACAGATACTGGCAGGTGCAGTTATTAAGGTCTCTGAATTGGTGAGACACTTGGCAAGCATAGTGTTTGTTTGACAGCTCTAATGGAACGGGTCCAAAAGACTAGACCAACCACAAACAAAAATGAAGACACTTAGAGCATGTGTTGCATGGGTATGTTATTTGCAGTTTGGATAAAATGTTGAATATTTGTCTTTGTGTCTGCAGAGTGTCTGTACATATTCCCATGCCAGTGGAACTACAGGCCAGATCACTGCATGTATGGAAGCAACTGCAAGGCTGCGGAGGAGGAGGGGGTGTCTATACTTCATGGTAACCGTGGTGTGTACCATGACGAGAAGCAGCCCGCCTTCAGAGTGGTGTATGATGCCATACGTGAGGTGAGCTGCCACTGTCTCTTCAGGAGACAATTGTATGATAAAAGTAATAGAATGGCTGTTAGACTGATAATAATATGTTGCCAAATTTACACTGTGAAGGTGGCACAGAAGCACTTCTGAAGTGGCATTTAGGTGGTTTTACCCAGACTGTTTAAAGGGTTAGTTCACCCAAAAATGAAAATTAGGCTGTGTTTTACTCAACCCCGAGGCATCCTAGGTGTATATGACTTTCTTCTTTCAGACGAATCCAGTCGGAGTTATATAAAAAAAAGGGATGCACCGATACCAATACTGGTCTCCTGTACTCGTACTCGTATTCGTACTCGTTAAAATGCCCCGATACCAAACGCCGATACCACACAGCATGTGATAAGCGCCATATTCAAAGATAAAAGGTGATAGTAAAGACTTATATTGTTAGAACAAAAATTCAATTTTGAATAAATGCTGTTCTTTTTAACTTTTTATTCATCAAAGAATCAAAGAAAATATATCACAGGTTCCAAAAAATATTTAAGCAGCACAACAGTTTCAACACTGATAATAAATCAGCATATTATAATGATTTCTGAAGGATCATGTGACACTGAAGACTGGAGTAATGGCTGATGAAAATTCAGCGCTGCGTCACAGAAATAAATTCTATTTTAAAGTATATTAAAATAAGAATCCAATATTAGAAATTCTGATAATAAATCAGCATATTATAATGATTTCTGAAGGATCATGTGACACTGAAGACTGGAGTAATGGCTGATGAAAATTCAGCGCTGCGTCACAGAAATAAATTCTATTTTAAAGTATATTAAAATAAGAAACCAAAATTAGAAATTGTAATGATATTTCACAATATTACTGTTTTTTTTTCTGTATTTTTGATCAAATAAATACAGCCTTTAACTCCATTAAAAACATTAAAAATCTCACTGATCCCAAACTTTTGAACAGCACACACACATTCATATAATAACCTGGACACAAAACACCCCCATAGCACCACACTAAAAACATGTGAGAACATCCTACCGACCACATAGCAACGCCCTGGCACACAATCACTATTTTTCATAGAATGTAAAAGCCTAGTTGTTTGACTTTAAGATTTTAAGCTTAAGAAATGTAATCCATTTGTCTTCGCTTTGCCAGTCCACTTTCTAATTTTCAGTGCTAACAAAGCAAATCCTGAGGGTGTTGAACCATATGAGAATAAATAGAAGTGTTGCATTGTACATTCAGAGTGCAGTCTCCTTGAAGGCTAATAGCAGGAAAGTGTCTATCAAGAGGACGCCTTTTGTATGGTCGAGTCACATGGGCCCCTCTGCTGTTCAGAATTCAGTCAGATATGAAATGTGGACCTTGTTCATTGTGCCTCAACAAACAAACCAAAGCAGTTCCTTGAACACTTTGAAATGTAATGTATTTCATCTTCTCTTTCAGTATCCTTTTGAGGAGAACTTGTTCCAGTCTTTATTTTACCCTCTTCAGACTAAGTTCCTAGACACAGTTAACACCCTTTGTGGAAGGATACCACAAGTGTTCCTCAGACAGATCGAGAAGACCATGAGGGCTGTTTATGAGAAAAAAGTGGTGCGCCGTGTCCGACTGCCACGCGAGTAATGAGCCTCGGCTGCGTTTCAGTATCACAAGGAAGAATCTCTGCCTGCTGCTTGGATCAGAGTGATCTTTTTCATCGAAGACGAGCAATGCCAGAGGCAAGCTACATTTGGTCCATTAGGCACAGTATGAGCTTCATGAGCCAGAGGAGTTGGAGATTCAAGCTGGAACAATTTCTTTTGAGCAGACGTTTTGGTCTGCTGGATGGAAACAGCAATGCAGGATGAATGCAACTCTAGCGAAACCATCAAAACTCTTGAGAGAGAGTAGTGAGAACACGCATCGAGTGTCTCCAACTGTGGGTAACCAACCACTTGAATGTTCCTGAAAGAACATGAGAGACTCGTTGGCAAAGCTGTTTTTAGCCAATCCAAAAATATGGATTCAGAGCTGTTTATTTTACAACTGTGTTGTACCATTTTTCAGCATCTAGTTCATTATGTCTAGTATTACGCAATTGGAGCATTTGTGTCTCACTTTATCTAATTCTTGTATTTAAGTGGCTGCACCAATTTGTGCATTCTGCTGCTTAATAGCATGAGATAAGGCCTTGTTTTCAAGCCACAAAAATGAATGTAGCACGCAGAAACAACCAAAGAGAACTAGCCTGTAGAGCTCAGTAAGATGTACATTCAGTTTAAGTACAGCCCTAATGGTGGATGTTCACACTGTTTACATTGAAGATGACTTGTTAGTAAGACTAGAAAGGGGCCTGATGTTGTAATGTTGTGATTGGGATTTGAATTTTAATATATATATATAGAATTTCACGAGGAAACCTTTGGACTTTTGTGAGAATTACAATTAAAGGGATAGTTCACCCAAAAATGAAAATTTGATGTTTATCTGCTTACCCCCAGGGCATCCAAGATCTAGGTGACTTTGTTTCTTCAGTAGAACACAAACGAAGATTTTTAACTCAAACCGTTGCAGTCTGTCAGTCTTATAATGGAGGTGAATGGGAATCACGGCTTTGAGAGGGTCTGTGCAAGAAACTGAACAGTATTTATATTGTTTTTTACCTCTGATGCACTATAATGTCTGAACTGTCCTGAGCGCGTAATGAGCGCGTCCTCGACAGCCGGCGCGTGACGCGTCGTCGTCTTCTTGCTTTACGGGGGATCGCAGACTTATAAGTGCAATACCGCTACCTATCTCTCAAATGGACATTGACACTCCTAATTTAGATTGTAGATAGTGTCAATGGTCCATTTAAGAGATAGGTGGCGGTAATGCACTTATAAGTCTGCGATCCGCCGTAAAGCAAGAAGAAGACGCGTCACATGCCGGCTGTTGAGGATGCGCTCGGGACAGTTCAGACAAGACATTGCACTGCATCAGAGGTTAAAAACCATATAAATACTGTTCAATTTTTGCACAGACCGATCGTTTCGTGTCTTTACACATCAATGTATCGTCACGAGCCACAGGGTTTAATTTGGTTTTGTTTGTGTATGTTTTTTTTTTTACTCTCAAAGCCGTGATTCCCATTCACTTCCATTATAAGACTGACAGACTGCAACGGTTTGAGTTAAAAATCTTTGTTTGTGTTCTACTGAAGAAACAAAGTCACCTACATCTTGGATGCCCTGGAGGTAAGCAGATAAACATCAAATTTTCATTTTTGGGTGAACTATCCCTTTAAATCTGTTGTTCTGTATATTGATACGACAAGCCTATTCTGATGGACATAATGAATTTGATGTTGAATTTGTGGTGGAATGTTTTTTTTAAGGTAATCTGCAACAGTTTGTGGGAGCTACACAAAAGGTCTAAGTGTTAAAGTATTTTTAGCAATATTCAGTCCAGTCATGTTCAAAGAAAACATTTTGTTGTTTTACCCTGTGTTTGTTAGGAGTTTGATTTTCTGCCATAGTGGGATTGATCTAATGTGATCATTTAAAATAAATCATATGTGCCGATTAGAATGGTTTGTACATCATACTATATACATGTACTATATACATAAAAACAAAACTATAATAAAACCAGAAAACCATACACAGATGTACAGTTTACACTTAAGTGCACTTTGTAATAAATGCTGAATTTGGAGAAAATAAAAATAAAGATAAGGGAAAAAATGGCTAAATTAGTTTAACAAAACAAACTCTCTGCACCCAATATGATCAGTTTACCCATTTCTTTAAAAAAATCTGAAATCATTTTAATTGTGTAACCACAGCCTGCTAATTTGTTGACTGCTTCTGTGTGAAAGTATGAACGTCATGTAGAAAGCAAGAGTGTGATTTGATATGTTCATTAGCACAATGTGCTTAATTATATGTGTGACCAGTTTCCAGCCTCCTGTCACTGGTCTCGGATCAGTGATGACATTTCCTTAACTGGAAACTCAGGAGACTCTTCTACATCTCATGTTATCTCTGTGTGAAGAGATGCACCAGCGATGTTCATTGTATCCAGTGTGTTTTTCTGTCTTTCTGAATGTCTTACATTGTATGTATTATTGTCCTTTTTATACAAAAGTGTGTGTCAGAAATGTAATAAATAAATATGCATTTAATATTGATTTAGCTTCGTCTCACACTTATTTTTGCATTATAAATCTATTATAAAAATATATTTTAATACAGTGCTATGTAATACAACTTATTGTTCAGACAGTATATGCTCAGGAAACTCTTCCTAATTAGTTTCATTAAGAACGTTTTAATACTCTAAATTATAAACATTGTAAGAAACATAATATATTCGATGGTTTGGTATTTTGGTTTGGTTAGTACAGTAAATTTTGTAGGGGGAGAAAACAACAGGCCAGACATTTTACAATAAGTAACTTAGGTTCAAACTGAGGGCGAGCTGAGTCATATTTGCTTTTAAATAAACATGAAGATGAGCGTTCAATTATAAATACGCGAATAGTTCCAGTCAGACTAAACACGAAATTCAGGCCGTGTTTCAAAACCTTTTGATCCTACCTTGACACCGCATAAAGTTTGTTCGAAACGCGCCTATTGTGCTCAAAAATGTTGTCTACATAGGCAGCTCACTAGGTTTTGAGGCACATTTCCAAAACTCTTTACGCCTACAAAGCCTCAAAAATGACGTCTAGCTAGGTAGGTAAGCAGCTCACAAGATTTTGAGACGCAGCCATGCTATTGCGCAACAGTCAGAGCACCCGAAGAGCGGCCGGCAGTGACGTCGCAGACGCCGCCATATTGAAATGTTTCCCCTCTCCTCTTATTCACTGAGCTCAAGAGCAGCCATCAGCTCTCGCTTTCCAACTGGAGACAGGGACAACAACACAGACATGGAGATTGACACTCTTCTGGAAGCTCTTAAAGGTGCCCGGTTGTGTGTGTTGAGGTGGCCTGCGTGCGTTTAGAGAGGAGTTATATGTGCTTATAAGCTGGTAGTGTGAGTTAGCTAATGTTAGCATGGCCTGTAGCTAAATGGCTTTTCCTGTTTTTCGAGGTCTGTTGTGTGTTAAGAGCAAATGAACAGGTTTCTATTGTCCTATTTTATGATAACTAGTTAGTGGTTTGGCCATTTCCGCCAAAATGACGGGTTAGTTAATTAATACGTTAATAAACAAGACTATTGTAGATTGAGATAACTAGTTAGTGGTTTGGCATGATCTAGAGTTGATTTGAGTATATTACACATGTGTATATTCAGCGTTAACTCTAAACTAGTGAATAATTGAATAATAAAGTCCCATTTTCTTGATACGTTTTCTTTATAACGTGCTTTTTTAATTTACACCTTGATAGAAGTTGTACTCCGTTCTACTACTAACTTGAATAATATTATTACTACTGTTATTATTGTTGTTAATAATTTCTCATTCTTTATATACATACCCAGAGTGGTATAAATATTTTTTGTGATTTAATGACAAAGCTCAGATTTATTGTACAGTACCTGTACTAATTCTTATGTAAGTGCGTTAGAAAATGTATTAATATTTTGTCGTATTTTTCATAAAAGTTCAGGGCTGGACTGGTTATAGTTTTCCATTAGTGGTCTAAGTAGGGGTCATAAAGTACCACAAGGTTGTGAATCTTGAGGATGACTAGTAACAAGATGTTTAGGATCATTATAGTTGTACTGCTTACTTTATTAGCTCTGCTTGGAAAATGATATGTTCTAATTTTATATGTTTTAACTTTAATAAAAGCATGCATATTATTCCAAGACCGATTATAGATGTTGTCTAAATAGTTGTAGAAAATAAAATGCTGATTTTGGAGCTTGAATATGACCTAAACCTAGGTGCACTGTAGTTGTTCTCATTTAAAATGTGAGATATAGTTAATAAAAAAATTCATTTATTTTTTTAATGAAAGCAGATGTAAGTCAGAACTAGATTGGACTAACTAGATTTCAAATTGAAGGTATTTTAAAGTTGGAAGTTGCTTGGATTGCATCCAGTACAGATGTTTATATGAAATCCATAATGCGATCTTTTTATTGTGTTTGTTGCAGATTTCGACAAGAAGGTGAAGAAAGAGTCGTCTCCGGTGTTGGATCAGTTTTTGTGCCATATTGCGAAAACTGGGGAAACCTTGTAAGTACCTTCAGATATCAGTGAGTGATCTAAGAGGGGCATTGAAACCCCCTTTACCTTTGTGTGACCTCTTTTTCAGTGGTTTGTTTAAAATCATAACTACTTTTCTAGGTAACACCACAAGGTGGTTTATTGCACTTCCACAGCACTTTTGGTTTTGTTCCAAAACACCCTGAACCTTGTACTTATCGACTAGATCTGCTTTAGACGACCTGTTCTCATTTCATGAAGTAATTGTGAGAATACATAGTCAGATGCATATCAGAAGATCGAATCTGTGTATGTCTCTGGAATACCTGCTCTTGATTGGTCAGTAGAGTTCTGTAGTCAATTCTTTTTGCATAAGGACCACTGAACTGTGTGGCAGTGTTTATTTGATCCTACATAGTTGTGTTAGTTTCATATTTCTTGTATCGCTCTGGTCTCTTCTCACATAATAAAACAATTTCAACTGAATTTTCAAATATAAAAATTCCGTGCTCATTTATTTGGTTGGTAGCCGTGTCATCATGACCGGCGAATGTTGTCCCTTACAAAGTTTAGCTGTCTAGGAGTTACTAATGCTTAAAGGGTTAGTTCACCCAAAAATGAAAATTAGCCCATAAATTACTCACCCTCAAGTCATCCTAGGTGTATATGACTTTCTTCTTTCAGACGAATCCAGTCGGAGTTATATTAAAAATTGTCTTTGACCTTTCAAGCTGTTTAATGCCACTCAGCGGGTGTTGCATGCATCAGTCCAAAAGAAGTTAAATAAAAAGCAAATCCATCCATAAAAAAAGAGTGTCTCACACGGCTCCGGGGGGTGAACATCGGCAAGTCAATGATTTTATCACTGAATCATTCATTCAATTGATTCATTTCGAATGGCTGATTCATTCAGGAATGAAGCAAGTGACTGTCTTTATGAATGGGTAATCATGAATCACTGACTCACTAAAATCATTTAAAAATGCCCGTTCATTCATAAACGAAACACCGCTGTGTTTGGAGATGCGCAGCGGCTCAGCTGTGTCTTTGTTTTAAACTATTTTCGACGACGAAATAGAGCAAAATCAGACA